ATAGGAAAGAGTTGATTTGTTTAATGATAAGCATTACATTACTGAGTAAGAACCTATTTAAGCTTATTTACGCCCATAAGATGATACTAAATAGTATTCAATGAATATAAACATGTGTGTCTATTTTAGATATAGTACTAAACTTCATGCATATCTTATATGACTACTTTGCCACTAGAACATTACTGAATGTTTGAATAAAAAAAATTATCGTTAAAGATGAGTTGAGAAAAATGCTGTGAACTAGAAAATTTTTTGTGCAAATTAAAAGAAAGGGACATTCCTTAAATTATAAGTTGCTTAGTAATTTTTTTTATTCCTTCTTCATTTATGAATATTTTATACAGAAAGTTATAGAAAATTATTTGAAAATATTCCGAAATATTGGGGAATAATGATAAATAATAGTTATATGTGTGAATTTGTTTTTAATGTACATCCGTTTAGAAGAAGAAGATGAAGTTGTATTAAAACTGGCATGCATAGTGTTAATTGTTTCTAATTATATCTTAAAATAGTAATATAAATTACTATAGTCAAACATTTTGATTAAACCCTAAAATTAGTTTCCTGAGGAATTAGAGGATAAGAATTATTCATGATCTTAATGGATGTTTAGGATTGTGTATGTGTGAAAGGTTCTATAAAATATTGATATGAGTTTGTAGATCAATTTACGAATTATGAAAAACTATTATTGAATAACAATAATCTTTGGGGTCTTTATAAGAAAATTGACTTTTTTTTATGAAAATCTTAGTATGAATATGAATAGAACAAAGAATTGATTATTAAACCTTAGAAACACTGTTACAACATAAGTATGACATTTCTACTCTTCTCTTATTATCGACACTTGAGTTTATGTAAATATTATTGTAATTTTTGTTCTTTTAGTAGGGGAAAAAATGAGTTTCAATGAATTGATTATAACGTGTAATAGTATAATCTTGCTTGGTATAAACTAATGTGTTTTGTGTAAGAGGCTGAAAAAAATCGTATTTACTATCTAGGAAGGGGCATCTACACCTAAGGTCTAAGATAATTCATACAAAAGTATATATATGTAATAACACAATGAAATATGCCCTTCCATTACCTTACTCCTCCTTATGACTCCTTGACAAGGACCCAGGCTTTCTGTGCTAAGTAACTCGACTAAATGTCACCCCACTCGCATCAAGCAACGGGCCTCCTCCTGTACCTATACCACCCAAGAATGGACTATGATGCAAGAGGTGTCTACCCAAGAGTTCATTCTCAATTCTGGGCCAAGGAAGAGAAAGAACTACAGGGGTCTAACAAAAAGGCCAAACACTGGGATCCGTAGTGTAGGCATGCCGCGTGGGCTTCAAGAACAATTATCCTCTACATAGCAAAATCTCATCGTCCACATATGAACCCCATGTATAGTCACAATATAAATCAAAATATCATAATCTTCAAAGTAAGATGATATAATTTCAAACAAAGTATGACACATTTTCATTTCATTTAATAACATAATATTAGTATATTAAATTCAGTACCACAAGAAAACATAATTTCCAATAAAACACAACTCAAGCATAATTAAATCAACATATTTCCCACTTTACCAAAATTTATCATATAATAAAATATATATTTTATTCACAGGCATACTTTCACAATTAACTTGAGAAAATAAAAACATAATAAACACCTTACAATCCAAAGCATGTATATAAAATAAATTAACCCCGATTACCTCTACTCCAAGCTTAACATCACAACTTGAGAAATAAGAGCACAAATTACAAACTCCGAAGTACAAGATAATCTACAAATAATGTAGATACAATTTAATATACATACCAATAAATAATTTAAATTACATAAGATTTATTATTATTAATATATATACATATTTTTGCTACCCCAAAAATTCTTACTTCAAATAACAATTTTCCTTTACCCAAATAACTCATTCAAATTATAAACAATTATAAAAATATTGTTTTTTATCTAATATTGTAAAAATCTCAATTTATAACTTAAGTTTCCAGCTTTGAAATTTGTCTAATAATATATTCTCAACCTATTTTACATTTTAAACCGATTAAAATATCAATAATACATTAAATAACCCAAATAGGTTATTTAACTTAAATTTAATCAGTAAAAATATTCCATATGTCTTGAATAATACATTTCTCAACTAAAATCTTTAGTTTAAAATTCTTAAAACAATCAATAAATAAATATAACTCGATTAAAATTTCAATAATATATCAAACAACCCAACTAAATTATATAACTTAATTTTTAATTGGTAAAATATGATATATATCATAAATGACATAATTTTCAACAAAATAAATTTGATTTTAAATACCAAAAGTAACAAAAAAAAAACAAATCTAAACTGATTAAAATTTCTTACTAATATATCTTTAAATTTTTACAGTCAAATATTGTCAAAACTCAATACTTACTTCATATCCAAATCACAAAGTTTTCTCTAAATATTATAATGATACTACTAATATAAAACTTTCAATATATAGAAATATTCATAGATAAAATTTAATAGAAAGAAGTATATTTATGTACCTAAATGATCTCCCAAAGCTTGAATTACTTTTCAAAATGCTAATACTTCTCTTCTTTTCTCTCGATCTCTCCTTCTGCGCCTCTCACTCTCTCTTTCCATTCTCTGCTATCACTCTCGCTTTTTATCTTTCAAATTCCACTGTCCTTCCCCATTTTTCCTTCTTTCATTAATGCACCTCCCTCCAATTTTCTCCCTTCATTAAACACCTTCGGCTTTTCCACCGAATTCGATGGAAAAACTGGGTGTATTTTTTTTTGGTATTAAAATATTATAATAATAATATAATATTATCTTATAAATATTATTTATTATTATTATTTTTTTTTTAGGATGTTACGGGTTAATCCAAATTACCTTTACCATTTTACTATAACATGTGTCTCTTGATTAGACATTGTCTTCCTTGATCTTGTCAAGTGTCTCATCAAGTTTGCCATGTGTTCCCTTTTATCATCTTTCTTATATCATCTCCTTCACATCATCAAGCTACGTGTCTTTAACGTATTTATCATGTGATAAAAGACCATTATTTTAATTATTTTTTCAAGCTTTGCCCTTGACAAAATATATAACTCCAACATTGTCCTCTTCATCAAATTATCACTAGAATAGGGAGGAAAATAAAAGAAAATTCATGTATAATTATACCCTTGGCTATTCATCCACTTATTTCATAATTTTGTAGCATATCCGGTGCTTTTTCAAGTCTTGACTTATTCGATATCACTGGTACATGTTCTGACACCATTTTCTTATCATAAATAACTTCATGTGACATAATAATGCCAAACATTAAGTGAAAGGAGCCTTTAGGGTTACTATCCCTTAAAGAATATACTGAATTATTTTATTCCATTGTAACTTTGACTAAATACTTTCTAATGTTTCTTGGCCTTGAAAATTTATTCCTCTGCTTCATTAACTCCCTTTCATTGGGAAATTTTTTTTTAATTTTTCTCAAGTCAAATCTCAACTTGTAAATAGCTCTTTTACAGATTTCCCATATATCCCCCCTTATATAAAATTCAGCTTTAAATTTTCTTAAAGCAAATCTTTGTATTTTCAAAGGTCAGGTATAATTTTATAATTAGTCATAATCTGCAAACTACCTTTTTCTCATTTCTATCCGGTTATTTGAGGCCTTCTCATATTTTAAATAATTGACTTGGATTAATTTTTTTTAATTAGCCAAAATTCCTAAAATTAGCCAATTTACTAAAAATCCATTTTTAGGGTCATTTTTATTATTTTCAACCTTAAATGGGCATACTTTTCATTATTATCCTTTCCGACTTAAAGGTTCTCAAAATTACAATTAGGTCTCTGTTAGGGTTTAGCCTTAAGAATTATCCCTTTGAGGTTTTTAGCATGACTTTTGGCCCATATGTCCTTATTCATCTTACTCAACTTTTGAGGCTTCATTGCATTCTTTAACTTTCTCATACATTGGTCTCATAAAACTTTCTCTTTGCAACTCGATCCCTAAAAATCCTTCTTATTTTTTTAGGAAACTTCTGGGATTTCTGCTAATTAGAACTCACTAGCCTGTCCATTTCAATTTATTTCTTACACCTTTAGGTCCCAAATTCGGAATGCTACATTCGGTGTATGAATTGGAATATCATGATTGCCAACTTCTTTATTTGTTATTTCCACCTTTTTAATAATATGTTAAATCCTTTATTTTTATAATTTGAATTTTAATACTACTTTCGGTCCTAATTATAAGAGCTAGTTGATTAATTATAAGAGTTAGTTATTTGTAATAAATAGTTGTTGTCTTTCCTAAAGTATCATTACTAATCAAGTGCTTTAGTTAAAACTACCATTGTTAGATGGACTATCTTAAGAAAAAAAATATAAAAATATGAGAGACAAGGCGGATTGAGGTCTTATATTTAGGACGAAAATAAAAGTCAAACAAGTTCTTATATTAATGATCAAAGGTAGTATATTTTAAAGCTATCAAATTATATACTTCTACTATTTATCTTTTTTAATAAATTTCTGTCTTTTTCAGTTATTTTACATTCGAACTTGCTTTTTAATTATATCATTTAGACAGGTTTTAAAACTTTTAGTATGTGAAGACAACTTTTTTAAAAAAGTTACTCTTCTGGTCTTAAACATAAGACTCGTTTTATTTCATCTAATCTTAAATATAAGATCTATTTTATTTTTTTAGTTCTAAATATAAGATTTATTTTGTAATATAATTTACATTACAAAATGTGTTTTATATTTAGGATTGGAAGAGTATCAAATAAAAGCCACTTTTTTTCACTGTTAATCTAAACGTGCCGGAACCAGATTGTCCAACGGGTCCGGGCCCACAGCAGTTGACACCCAAAATCTCAAACCCTCGGGATTTACTCCGCCTTCGCTCACCGTCTCGCTCTCACGTGCAAAGAAGTTTGTAGCCTATTCAAGCTTTTCATTTCCGAGGCTTTCGAGATTTTTGGTGTTCGTATTTCATTGGGGAAATTTTTGAACTATTTTGTTCTTTCTCATTACATCCCAATGCATTAAACTTGGTTACTTACCTTCCATTGAGTGAATGAAGTGTTTTGTTTAATCTTTGAGCGGAAATTTTGGGGATTTTCGTAAACTGACAACTTGGGTTTTGCAAGATCCGAATATGTCAACGGGCAAACCCAAAGACGGTGATCTTCAGGTGGTTTCAGTGACAGATAAGTCGAAACCGCAGCTTCCGCTGGCGACAGCAGCATCCAATGCACTTGTGGAATATACTCCGTTTGCGTTTAAGGAAGAAGAGGAGGACCTTGAGATTAAGCTCCGACGGATTATTGATAATGTACCCGTTCGTGTCAGCAACACGTCTGGTAGCTCTGCTGGTTCTGGCTCTGGCGACTTTCATCAGGTAAAGCTTTCAAACTAGTTCGGCCGTTCGAAGCAAAGCACAATTTGTTTCCTTCTATATTCCTTTCAGTACTCTTCTTTTGTACTCTTGTTGGTTCTAAGGAAGTTAGGTCTGATAATAAGAGTGCATACTACTTTTAGAATTTGCCTGGAGGAAGTCGAGTTAATTGTAGTGCTGATAGTCGGTACTCGGTTAATGTTATCCAGGCTAGAATATTTTGTGCTAAAACTTCAGGTTCAGCTTGCTGGCATGTAGAATTCATCCAATCCGTCAATGAACCAATTAATAAAAGCTGCAAAGGAGCATCATCACGTCATTTATCCTGTAACAGACCGATGCTGTCTTTTTATCTGCCATTTGACTCTTTGATGAGGACTGATATGCTGGTGATCGGGTTCATTTGTTGGTGTGGCACAAAATGCTGGTGTATGTTAAATTGTTTCCTGCTCATCTAGTAAATTGAAGAGTTTGACTCGTGATTAAGGATAAGGACAGAATACAACTGATGATGTACTGATGTTTAAGGAGTAATAATTGAAATGTAGCTTTTACTTCAGAATGTTATACAAGAATGATAGACAAAATCAGAAAAATGCGGAGTTCTATAGGCAGGTTGGAAGTGAGAACTGCTAGGCTAGTGGGGAACAACATTGATGAAAGTTTTGTTTTAGATGAGGGTTCTCTGTGTTAGCCAAGGCCTCTTGTAAATGGGTTCTTGATTTTTACCAGAAAGGGAGTGTAATTTTGGTTATGGAGCAAGGTCTCTTGGTTTAGATCTGTTTCCCAAAATTTTGAGCTGGGAAGTCAGGGTCTGATGCTAAACCTCTCACCAAAACAGCTAGATCATGAAAATCCTCCCCAGACATCTTTTGACTTGATTAATATTTGTGTAATAAATGCAGGCAGGCTGATCCCCACCAACATAATGTGGACGTGGACACATTGATATGTCAACTCGAAAACATGTAAAATATGACACGGAATGGTGCATATATCTCATCATATTTGCTACTCTATATTCAAATCCTACTTAGTATTTTCTGTTTAGTGATATACTTTTATTGAAAAACATGACCAACATTATCTAATCTTTTAAGTACCTGCACTATTCTCCCCCCAGAAAATCTACTGAAGAAACAGAGGCTTTTCTTCTTTTCATCACTCTGAATGTCCACATGTATACAATATGAAGTACGGTGCTTTCTAGATGCCACAAATAAAATCTTGGCTTCTAGACTTATATCGTATTCACCTCATTCTCCTTAAATCTCAAACGGTGATGCATAATAATGAATTAAAAAAAAAAACAAGCAGAATACATAAATAAATGAATGAATGAACAATGGCGGAATTAATGAGTGATAGACCTGAACTTGTTTATTTTCAACATCTACTTAAAAAAAAGATGTTAAATTATACTATTCTGATTATTATGTGCCACATATTCTGATTATTATGTACCACATAAATATAGGAAAGAGCTATATGATCAGCTGTGTCTGGTGCAGCTTTTTGAGCCTAACAGTTTTTTTGGGTCTTATGAGTCTATACATATGTCACAAAAAGATTTGTGACAAGGCTCAATGGTATTGCGCAATCCATGCAGCTGGCTCTATTTAGTGAGATAAAGTTTTGTTGTTGTTGTTATTGTACATGCCTATACATATGTCAAATACATGTTGGTTGGGCAGTTTGTTCCCATGACACTCTGCATTGCGTCTGTGGTCTATAAATCCGCAGTAAACACTCTATTGAATCAGGTGCATTGAACTGCTTCGTGTGGTACTTCTTGACAAATGCGTTTGTGAATAATTAATCGTGTATAAAACTTGTTGGGAAGGTCAGAAGGCAATGAATATGTTCTAATTTGTTCCCTTTTCATGTTTTACTCAAATTCCTCTTCCAACAGTATCGACAGATGAGACGGAAAGAGCAAGATAGACTTGCAAGGATGGAAGTTGATTACCAGAAAAGGAAAGAAGTGGCAGAGTTTAACCTGAGACGGGAGGAAAGATTAAAAGCTGCTGAGGAACGAACAGCAAAGAAGCGGTTGAAGCGTCAAAAGAAAAAACAAAGAAAGAAGGAGAAGAAGAGTAAATTGAATGCTGGAGAAGAGCAACAACATAGAGAAGAATCTTCAGATAATGGGGACTCTGACGATGAAGATGAGGCGTCATAATGAAACAAGCCTTGGCTTTCGCATGATGCTTCTACCTCTTTCATGGATGCACTGATTGAGTATCTATTTGAAAACATGTTTCATGCTGCCAAAAGGCCTAAATTTGGTTTTGGCGTTGGCAAACATGTCCTTAGGCGGAACATACACAATCATGCTACTTCACTGGGGTTTCCAGGTTGTGTATTTTGTTTTGGGAGGTGCTACATTTGTAAGGTTAATAGATGGCCATGAGACTCAGTTTTTCCCTCCTACATCTCCGATTTCTCCAGAACAATAACTACCTTCTATTGATTCACCCTAACTCTATAGATGTGAACGGAAAATTTCAAATCACTATGGTTGATCATTCAAGTCAGATCACTATAGCTTTTAACCATATTTTGCTTAACGAACAGAAAAGTAGAATAAACAGACTCTTATTTCATGTTAACACTACCCAATTCAAGCAGCAGATTTCTTTCCCAAGAATTTTACTGCTTGTGAAGGGGAGGCTTGTGCACTGAATGTAAATAAGCGAACTGGAATTGTGGAGGTTTTTTTTTTTTCTTGGTAAAAAAAAAAGAATTATGGAGGTATTTGTTCAAACAGGTATAAATAACTATTTGGTATACAAATGAAAAAGAACTTTTTCCCTAATATTTATGATGCAATTGGATTTGGAGCTCATCAACAAAATAAATTAAAAAAAAATTGATAGCTGTTTGTGAGTACAGTAATAACAAACCTTCTAGTTCTACTGTACTGCCCAAAACTCCTCATTAAAACAAAAAAAAAATGCCATTAAAAATATTAATCCTGGTACGGAATTTTACTTCCCAAAGTGGTGCCCATGAGAGAATTGTCTAAACATCACGTACTCGCCTGTGGAAAATTCCCCGCCTATTTCGTTCAGCAGCAATTGAGATGAGTAAATTTACATATTCAAAATTTAATAATACCTTTTAACAGTTTATTGTTTTCAAAAAAAGCTTGCCATCATAACATGAACGGTCAGATCATGCATAAATAAGGCCTCGTTCGGTTTACAGAATGGAACGAACGCTTTTCCCATTTAGGAGGGGAAAAAAAAAAGGAAATATCTTACTTGTCCCATAAATATTTTTAATTAAGTATAATGATTATAAAACTATAATAGATGTTTAGTGTTTTTTATTTTCGTGAGTTGGAAAGGGATAACCTTTCCTTCTTTGCAACTAAATGGAGCATAAGTGAGAAAGTAGCAGATTTTGTCAACCAAAGAGGAGAGCGGGATACAGATAAACTTGGCATTTGGTTTTCTTATGATAACATTGAGTGAATTAATTACCTGTGCACACCCACCTTGTGAGGAGCAAAAAGAGGATAAAATATTTTGAAACCTTCCACTGATGGTCTTTTTACTATGAAATCTTCCTATAGTCTTATTTTTTACAGGTACACATGGATGAGCAGACAATGTCTGGACGCTCATTTGGAGATGGCAAGGGTCAAAGAAGATAAAGAATTTCATGTCACAACAGAGTTAGACAACGAAGAGGTCTCCTAAAGCATGCTTTTTGTCCTTTTGGTTGCCATGAAATTGAGGACAATATGCATATGGTTCGAGATTGCACAAATGCTGTCCATCGATGGAAATCAATTCTCTCTCCTGAAAAGGGGCAAACTTTCTTCTTGCTACAAGAAGATAGCCGGATCAAATGGAACCTCTAACATAATGCACGAAAAGATTACACTAAGACACTCCAATGGAACACTCTCTTTGGATATATATGTTGGGACATATGGGTCTCAAGATGTGAAAAACTTTTTAATTGATCGCATACCAATAAGTGTTCAATATGAAGGTTCTGAAGTCCAAGAAGCATTCATCCAGCTAGAGGCTCAACAGGCCCCCTAAAGTATTCAAGGGATTTTTGTAACATCTAGGTTTTTAATCAAGGATTTAGCAGTAATTAAGTTTGATTATAAAATGACCTTGAGATATTAATGGTTGTTTGAGGTGGATAAGGAAAAAGGGGGTAAATAAGAGGTTGTGAGACTCTTTTATAGCTCTTTATATTTTTCATCGTAACAGAAGGAAAAGTTTGCTGTGGTATACGACATAGAAGGGGAAAGGAATATGCTTTCTGTGTTATTCATCGCGGCGACACTCACAATGAATATCACAGAGGGGATACCTGGCTGCTTCTATGAAGTTTGCTGTATTGAACAAGCTTGAAATTCAAATTATTAGCACTTTTATGTTTTTTGCCTTGGTGGAAGGTGAGGTTCACAATGATGAACTCCTGAAAATGCCAATAAAAACCAGCATCAAAAACACAAAACATAGAACGGGAAGGGAGGACAAGCAAAGGAGCTCTGTTAGAGTTTATAGTTTTTGACCTTGGGGAGTGTTTTTTGAGCTTCCAAATTTTCAAGTAAGTGATTCTAACTTGTTTTCTATCTTCTTCTCTTGGTTTTTCTTAGATTTGAAATTGGGATCTTTACGGTTCTTGAGGATTTTGAAATTTTTAAGTTTTTGACCAAACCTTTTAGGTTCCTTAAAGTTATTTGGGTTAGATAAGATGTTTAATTGGTCTAGTTGTCACATCCCAAATTTTGGACCTAGAAGTACTGGAACTAGCCTAAAATGGACAGGCTACTAAACCCTTTTTGGTAGAGGTCCCAGAGATTCCCTGGAAAGACAGAGGATTCCTAGGGACTAAATTGTAAATAGAAAGTTTGCTGGAACTAAGAAAAGAGAAAGTTAAAGACTCTAGTGAAGTCTCAAAGCCCAAGAATGAGAAATAGAGATAAATGTAAGCCAAAAGTTATGTTGGAGGCCTCATTGAGGTGAATTATGAGTTCAAGTCAAACTAGGGGCAAAATCATAATTTTGTAAAGTTTTGGGCTGGTAAGGGAAAAAATAAAGTTATGCCAAAAAATCCCAGAAAAATCTCAGAAAATGAGAAATAGTAGATTAAGGCCTGAATACCTTAGAAAAATTCTAAAAAAATAAGAATAAGGTTCAGAGATCCGTATGATACTAAAAATGACGAGAATGCCCCTGGAAGGAATTTGTAGAATTCCCAGGGTTTTGACTGATTTTGAATATTGTTGAAAATGAATTATTTAAAATATAAGGAGGCCTCAGATAATCAAAGAAAAATGAGAGAAAATATTTGATAAATTATCACAGGTTTTAAAAGTAATTCTGTCCTCAGAAGGTAAAGAGGTTGGCTTTAATAGAATTTAAAGCCTATTTACACATTATTTAGAGGTTGACTTTTAACTTAAGACAAATTAGGAAAATTCCTTGTGATGAATAAGGAGTATTGGTATCCAAAGATAGATTCTCAAACTCGTGAACACTAAAGAATTCGGTCAAGTCTACTCCAAAATAAATATTATTAAGGGAAAATTAATATGCAGGTCCTTGTAGTTTTGGCCTATTTTGAATCAGGTCCTCAAAGTTATTTTCTTTTTTTATCAAATCCTTAATGTTTTAATTGTTATAGTTATAGATCCTTCTGTTTAAACAAGGTTAGATTTAGGTTAACACCGTTAAAGATAGCCACCACCATTGATGCCTGAAAAAATCACCATAACAAGGAGACCAAAATCCCTACCCGAATCTTGTGCTTTCTACCCAAAATATGCATATCTTTGCTTCAACCCAAAAACAGAGTCATGGAAAATGAACGTCGCTCCATTTAGTTCGCCTAAAAATCAAGCTGTACATCTTGATGCTAGAGGATGATGGTTAGGGAGGAGTGGATCTAGCTATCAAGTAAGACTGTCTAATTGCTTGAACGGCTTACGATATAGCAATAATCTATAACAATCAAATGCTCCAGTGCCACATTGGTGGATCCCCTTCAAGTACAAGCTCACATCCACTAACACTACGGATCCATCTTCTGTGTAATCCTCGACTGGGATTGATCTGCTGCCATGGCAGACTTAATTCTTATCAGACCCAATGAATCCCCCAAAGCCGTACTCACACTCCGAGGAACACTCCTTAAAATTCCCACCATGTGCCAAGACTTCGAAGATGATCTCTGATTTCTCGCCGAGGAAGACCTCAAAGGATCCATGAGGTTTAGCTCAGCCAAGGACGCGCCATGGTGGGACTTGTGCCTCAAACTTGCCCCATACAAGCGACCTTACAAGAAAAAGGTTCTAGGATATCAATAGCAGCGGTCTTCTTTAACAGTGTTTAGCCCCATTTTAAACAGAAGGATGAACGGCTTTAACGGTTAAAACATTAAGGATTTCATAAAAAGAAAAATAATTTCAAGACCTGATTCAAAATGAGACAAAACTACAAGGAGCTGTGTGTTAGTTTTCCCTATTATTAATTATTTTATTTTAATAGAAGAACAAGGGAAGAGCATCACTCCCTCTTTGAGCATCTTATATAATGCCAGGTGGATTTATTTAAGGTTAGAAAATGGTGCCATAACATGTCCTAGTGGTCCCGGGAGAGTCAGAATCCCAAAAAGTACCCTATATGGTACAGAATGGTAAGATAGGTAGAGGAATGTCTAAGGTTTGTATTTTGTACGAATTTTATATTAATTTTCTCCCCATTTTAATGCCAAAATAATAAAAGAATATGGATGAGACAAGTGTATGGTTAGATGAAAGACAGAGTGTTTGGTTGGAGGAAAAATACTTATACGATTGGATGCAAGACATGTGCACGGTCGGATGTAAAACACACGTACGGTTGGATTAAAGGCCTATGGCTTGATGATGTAAGCATGATAAGGTAAGCATGATATCATGAGGACACTTGTTACCACAAGACAAAGAGGAAAAAGTGGATGGCCAGGATTTAATCTTGCAATTTTAAGATCAATGGCTAGGATTTGTTCTTAAACTCTATAAATACCCCTCTCCTCCTCCTCATTTCGCCCTAAGCTCATGGAACCATAGGGAAACTTTTACAAAATGAATCCTAGAGAGAGAAATAAGAAGGAGAGAGAAAGGTCAAGTGATCTCATGCAAGATCAAGCTCTAAAACGAGGTATGTTCATGGTTTTTGATGTAGTTTTCACTACCCTAATTGTTGCTGAGCTTGGTTATGGACTTTAATGATTTTTGGGAGCTTGAAATCCCTTGGGGGCGTGCTGCACGAAATTATTAAGAATAAGAAAAGATGAAATTGATGTTAGAATAATGTTTAAAGGCTCGAAAGGAACAAGAATCAAGTGGTTTTATATTGAAATTGGTTAAATTTTGTGACTATGTAACTTGAGTAATATTTCGGTCATGGTCAGTTCATGGGGAAGGAGTTTGATTTTGATTATTTTGAGCTTGAAAATATATTTTAAATGCAAAATTGTGTGGGAATAGCATATGGAATT